GCAGCTTATGTGTTGTGGAACTTCCGGCAGCAGATAAATGGGAAGAGTTTGAAGGCAATGGGATAACTGTTGACCCTTGCCATTGTGACTTCAGTTTGAATAACTCTATGCACCTCACGTGGATAGATACACGTACCTTAATTGGTATCTGTCGCTGGAGTGATTACTGTTCTTCAACACCTATGAGGTCCAGTGAAGCTGGTAACTTAGAAGAAAAACATGATTCGCTGTTCTTTGTCAATGAGATTAAACTTGTATGTTCTGAGGACTGTTTGCCAGGTTCAGTGAGTTCATCTGGTTGGCAAGCTAGAGTATCAAAGAGAATGCCTCTGGAGGGTCCTGTTATTGGAGTCTCCCGAAACCCAGCAAAAGGAGGTTCAGCCTTTATCCAGTTAAGTGGAGGAAAGATTGTTAAATACTGTTCAGAGTTGAGAATGACTGCACCGATACAAAGCGGTGAACTTTGTCCTGATTATGATTTTCCAACATCATGTCCTTCAATGACTGCCGTTCCATGCCATGAAAATGGTGTGGTTCGAACCCTTCTGCTTGGACTTGATGACAGCAGTAAGCTGCACATGGGCAAAAGGTTATTGAGCAACAACTGCAGCAGCTTCACATTCTATTCCAGTTCTTATGGAGCTACTGAGCAGGTTGTGACCCATTTGCTTGTGACTACTAAGCAGGATCTTTTGTTCATTGTGGACGTCAATGAGATTTTCCTAAAAAACGGCCAAGTGACAATTGATAGCCATGTTAACAAACATCCTCGAGCAAAGCCAAGCAAAGAGCATATCACTGTGTGGGAAAAAGGATCAAAATTGATTGGTGTTCTCCATGGTGATGAAGCGGCTGTCATAATTCAAACAACCCGTGGTAACTTAGAGTGTATGTACACTAGAAAGCTGGTCCTTGTTGCAATTGTTCAGGCACTGGTCCAGAGGCGTTTCAAAGATGCAATGGACATGGTAAGACGCCATCGAATAGATTTCAATATGTTGGTTGATTATTGTGGATGGAAAGCTTTTATCAAGTCAGCAGCAGATTTTGTTAAAGAAGTCAATAACCTTAGCCACATCACTGAATTTGTTTGCTCAATTAAGAATGAGAATGTCAGCGGCAAATTGTATGAGGCGTACATATCATTCCCTGAGCAGTGCTCGAGCTCAATGGATAGTGAAAATCTGCATGGCGCCTTGTCAGAGAACAAAGTAACATCTGTACTGATGGCAATCAGAAAAGCCCTCGAGGAACAAATAGAAGAAAGCTCATCAAGAGAACTGTGCATACTGACCACTTTGGCGCGTAGCGGACCTCCATTGTTGGAAGAAGCATTGAATAGAATTAAAGTCATTCGAGAACTGGAACTTCATGGGGTTGATGATGGCCGACGGAAGCTTTACCCATCTGCTGAAGAGTCTTTGAAGCACTTGCTTTGGTTAACAGAACCAGAAGCTGTTTTTAATGCTGCTTTGGGACTGTATGATCTGAATCTTGCTGCTATAGTTGCTTTAAATTCCCAAAAAGATCCAAAGGAGTTCCTTCCTTTTCTTAAGGGTCTTGAATGCCTACCTCCTGCTATTATGAGGTACACAATAGATTTGAAACTTGCAAGATATGAGAGTGCTCTCAGAAACATTGTGTCTGCTGGTAATGAGTATCATGCGGACTGCATGGAACTCCTTAATTCTAACCCTCAGCTGTTCCCACTGGGCCTCCAGTTATTTAGTGACCCAGATAAAAGACATCAAATTCTTGAGGCATGGGGCGACCATCTTTTTGAAGAGAAATGCTTTGGAGAAGCTGCAATAACTTATCAATGTTGCTCATCATATCAGAAATCTTTGAAAGCTTATCATGCCTGTGGGGACTGGAGAGGTGTGTTCACTGTTACAGGCCTTCTGAACTTCACAAAGGAAGAAATTCTTCAACTAGCACAGGAGCTATGTGATGAGTTCCAAGCACTCGGTAAGCCAGGAGATGCCGCCAAAATCGCACTGGAGTATTGTTCAGATGTTGATAGAGGTGTAGGCTGCTACATCATGGCAAGAGAATGGGAAGAGGCTCTTAGAGTGGCTTATATGCACAGCAGGCAGGATCTTGTTGATACTGTTAAAGATGCAGCTCTGGAGTGTGCTGCAGTGCTGATATCTGAGTATCAGGAAGGATTGCTGAAGGTGGGTAAATATCTAGCACGCTATGTCGCTGTGCGGCAGAGGAGATTATCTCTTGCAGCTAAACTACAGTCAGAGGACCGATTTATGGATGTCGAAGACGACAACATTTCAGAAGTCAGCTCTAGCTTCAGCGAAATGAGTGCATACACGACTAGGTTTGTTATTCTGCCGTTTTAAGTTCCTAAGTCCTTGTGCTTAATGTTTCAATTCCATCTTCCTTGTTTAATGTGATTTCCAAATGCTGTGTGGACAGGTCAACAAAGGAATCGAGTGCTTCTGTCATATCTAGCAGCGCAAGCAAGTCACGAGGGTCAAGGCGTCAAAAGAAAGCTGGCAAGATACAAGCTGGAAGGTAGGTGACTTGGTTTTTTTTTCCGGTTATCAGATTATTGCACTGAAATCTCTGTTTTGTACTGTTTCTGCTTGTTTGTCTGTTTATCTTGTCGACTCACTAGAAGCACTGTTTCTGCAGTCCTGGGGAGGAGATGGCACTAGTGGAGCATCTCAAGGGGATGTCTCTGGCCACTGGTGCGCAAAAAGAGCTTAGAAGTCTACTTGTAGTTCTAACACAGCTGGGGAAAGAAGATATCGCCCGTCAGGTGCAGCTGGCTGGAGATAATTTTGAGGTATCGCAGATGGCCGCAGTGAAGTTGGCTGAGGGTACAATGTCTACTGACAAGATGGACGAGAATGCGCATACCCTTGAGCATTACACGAAAATGCTGAGAGCACATCAGCCTGTCGCCAGTGAAACCTCCTCCTGGCGGATCAAAGCTCTGTCGCCGCCTTGACTGGTATGCCCTCCAGTTCCCAGGTTGCAAGTTAACTCCATTTTGGAATGAAATAGTACTGGTACATGGAACGGGTCAACAATGGCGGTGTGATTTTTGAAATATTGCTTCAGGTTTGCTGGCGTGTTGCTTTTGGGACACGGGAGGTTGGCCAGGGCAGCGCTTCTGGTGCCCAACGTTTGCAGTACAACATGTCTCTATCTGGCGGATCGTTACGTCCAACATGTTTCAGCAATTTTGTAGTTGTATCATGTATCGTGGATATCAAAGTTCATGCCATCGGTCTATCACAAGTATAGTGGTCTATTTGTTTGTGTACCAACAGTTGATTATTTTTGGCAGAAATGAAGCATGCCATGAATATTGCTGAAATGTAATACATTTCAATACGCAGTAAATGCTGATATATTTTCACGGGGGTATTCACATATGCTACTTCTCTTAAGGTACATCAATACGTAGTAAATGCTGATATATTTTCACGGTGGTATTCACATATTTCCTCCGTGTGTACTTTCAATTTTATTGGAGGGTCAAACTATCTCAAAGTTCGATCGAGTTTGTGCAAAAATATATTAATGTTTGTGAAACTAAATTGGTATATGATGAAACTATATTTTATTATGAATCTAATGCTACTATTTTTTTTGCATGATAATATGTCTCATTTACGTCATAAGGATCATACTACACGTCACGTACACATCGATGTGACAACTGAAAAAATAGCAAAATGCTAGCCTTTGCACAAAGGAGCACCAGCCAAAAAGGAAAAATACAATCAAGACTGAAGAATCCTCTGAACTTGACACTACCTTTGTCACCACCTTAGTAGCCACCAAAATAAAAATGACGAATCATCTCCTCACCCTTATTTGATGCGGCTCCATTGCTGATATGCAGCTTTGCAGACCTTCAAGGTGGCTCGCCAAAGGTGATGCCATTAACGTTGAATGAATCAGACCATGGCAACACCTCGGACACGCCATCAAACCCTACTAATTTGATGGCATAAATAAAGGACAGACCCAGCGAATAGAAGCTTCCACACAAGGTGGGGTCTGGGGAGGGATTATAGGAACCTAGTCTTACCTCTGCAAAGTGCAATGCAGAGAGGCTGGTTCGAACCCAGGACCTCTTGGCACAAGTGGGGAGGACCTCACCACTGCGCCAGGCCTGCCCTCAATTTGATGGCATAAATGTTGGTGTATTATTGTATAAATATGATCAAATATATATGAAAAGTTGACTTTCCAACAAAATTGTAAGTACACTTTTAAGGACAGAAGGAGTATGCTACTACTTTCTCTATCCCACAATATAAGATCATTTTTCAAGCTATGTTACCACATATGCTACTCCCTCCATCCCAACAATACAAGTTTTTTCAAACTATGTTACCACATATCCTACTCCCTCCATCCCACAACACAATATAAGTTTTTTCAAGCTATGTTACCACATATCCTACTCCCTCCATCCCACAACACAATATAAGATCGTTTCAAACTAACATAGCTTGAAAGGAAGTACTTCTTATGTCATTGATCTTATGCAAAGATTGCGTACATGTTTTTTTTTTCCTTTTCTCTTTTATGCTTGATTGAGTCACTTAGATGTGCAATAACTAGGCAAACCCATCAAAGGATACCAATAAACAAGCGTTCAGTGCATTTAAAGGGCAAGTCACAACAATACAATCACATATATGGAACACAACGGAATAAAATTATTGGCGTACAATACAAAGTAATCGACATATGGTATTGCAACTACACCCTGAACAAGAGAAAAGGGGAATCCTCTGTTTGAAGTTCTTTGGCATCACTGTAACAATGCGACTATTCAGCTGTAGGAAACAACATGAGCAGTTTTCTGCCATATCCGCACTTGTTGGCCCACAAGGTGATGTAACTATGTATCCACAATTGGCAAAGCTGCCTCGGTAAAACAGTGTACAAGCTTCCCCCCAACTTCTCCCTAAATCTGCGCCCAATGGAGGCCTCATCCATTTCCAAGTATTGCAAGCCACTCATCGCTTCGAGAACATTCCTTGCGTTAATGAGGAAAAATCGTACTCTTTGCCTGATTGAGAGGGCAGGGTAGAAGAGGTAGGGGTGGATGCGCTCTTGTTAGCACCTGCGGTTGTGGCCCCATTTGCTGGCTTGCTGCAAACCCACAGATGGCATCAGAAAACAAAATGTAAAATCTGTTTCCATATCTAGTACTCCCTCCGTCTCAAAATAAGTGTCTTAACTTTAGCACAATTTTATACTAAAGCTAGTACAAAGTTGAGACACTTATTTTGGGACGGAGGGAGTATTGCTTAAGTAGCAACAAACCTATGAAGATAACAAAACTTACCCCGGCGAACCAAAACCGAAGTTACCAGAAAAGAAGTCCTGATTGTTGTTCCCAGCCTGCCGAACAGTAGACCAGAGAGAGAGAGATGAAACAATCAATATAACTAACCTTCGAGTGCACGTATCTAAACATTATCCACAAGTCATCACCTTGGCGACACCATTTTGTGGTGCTGCTGCTGGAATAGATGCAGGGTTCTGATAACCTAGATTTGGCCAGCTATGGGAAGGCAAGCTTCCATTAGGGGCATTAGAACCATTAGCATTTAGCACACTAGCATTCCCGGGAACCATTTGGGGTGCATTCCCAGGAACCATTTGGGGTGCATTTCCAGATTTAAGAGCAGCCATCAGTAAAGCTTGTTGCTGGGTCATAAAAGCAAGCTGCTGCTGATGGATAGCAAATGGTGATACCATATTCGACTGCAGAAAAAACAAGTATTTCTTTAGGTAGAGCCTACATGTGCTCTTGTGGTCAGAGTCATTTCAAATAAATATATAAGTAGTGCGAGGAGTGCTTGTGCTGACCTTCTCAAACAGACTCATGATATCTGTCTGTGGGTTTGATTTGGAAGCAACTGGAGCTGAAGACGCTGCCACAGCTGGCGAGTCTTTAAATAAGTCTTCGATTCCCGATGTAGACTGGGCCTTACTTTCTACTGGCTTAGCAGTATCCTTTTTCTCGGAGTTAGGTGCTGGTTCTGCAGCTGAATAATTTTAATATCCATGAGGAATGCAAAACAAATTGACATGGCGATCCAAAAACATGGTATCTCCACTAAGTGTACAAAATAAACATGATGCAGTGCTCATGACAAGAGAATAGTTTCTCATTCAAAATATTACTCGTAAGAGCTTACACTGGAAGCCATCCCAAGCATTATCATCATTGGAAGATGACACTGGTTCTTTCTCAGTTGTTCCGTCCATCGATAACATGTTAAAGAGGTCAATGGCATAGTCAACTTTAGGAGGGGGTGCAACCGATGGCTGATGAACTTTTGGGGGTGTCACATCAACTTTAGCAGGAGATTTTGCTGGCTGAGGAGGCGAAGCAACCTTGGGAACTGGTAGTTCTGCTTTTGGCTGAGGTGATGCCTATATTCCAGATCGAAAATCAAGGTTATCAGCAGAAGAAAATTTTGTTCAATAGGATACAGTGAATAAAAAAAACTAAGCAGAGACCCCGAGATTACTTAAAGTAGATGTGATCAAATGCATATAACAAACCCTATATAAGAGCTTACAGGTCTTTCTTCATTTAAGATTACATATTTAGACGGTTGATATTAGTTAAGAAACTTGCAACAGATAATAACCCTGATTTTTTAAACATGCATAGTAACAAGAATTTTGCAACATGAATTGTTAACATTTCATCATTAGAAAAAAAATACAAGGGCCATCAAGGCCAGGTGCCAACAAATTAATAGTTGCATACTAAAAGCTTGTGGTAGTACAAAAGAGTTACCTGCGTGTGCATCCTAGAAGCCACTGGAACAGTTCTTTTCGTAGCAGCTGGTGAAACACGATGTTGCTCAAATGAAGGTTTTTGAGCGTGCCCACCCCTGTTAGCATGACTGGCCTGAGATTCAGAGCTCTTCTCATCTCGAGCACTAGAGGGCAGTTTTGATGTTCCATTCCTCGGTATCCACCTCTTGTCCTCGTATCTATATTTCAGATATGATGTTACTTACATTATTTGAAAAGTACAGAGAACACGTTACACTAGATAGAAAGAGCAGGAATAATCATACTTTGCACGGATGAAGTTCTCTATCCCAACCCTGTCATAATTAGGGGGCAGCTCTGCTTCCCAATAGCCATTTGCCTTTTCATTTCCCATTGCTGCAAGAACATGAATACAATTATCGTGTCAAGTGAAATCATAGTTTTGTTAACAAAAATTTGCATTTAGAAACTCCAGGAGAAAGTAATCCATACATTGAATAAATGCAACTTGCTCTGGCAACCATGTATCCAGAGTAGCAGACCTTACCTGCATCAGGAAGAAATGTTTTGTAAGAATGAAAAAAAATTAATGCTGCCTAATCTCTTAAATGTACATAATACAGTAGACAAGATGATAGGAAGGAAACATATGAAGTAAAGAATTGAATTCTCTCCTGGTAAGTAAACTTTTGGTTTCTGCTCAACAAAATTGTACTGAAATGCCACAAGACCAAAGTAAAGGAAATAATAACCTAAAGAAACATAAGCATATTAATGCTCAAAATCAAAGAAAAAAGAGTGTCCTACAAAATGTGGTATGAGGGGGCTAAGCTAATCCACTGAAACCGAGTTGTAGCACATGATGACCACTTTATTGGGTTGTATTATGATACGTTTACATCAACTCCATTTACCTATTAGCAGGCAATGAGTTTAAAACGTTTGATAAAGAACCCTTAGCATGCCCAGATTGTCCTGAAAGTTCTTCACCTCAAGCCAGGCATCACCATTGTGGCTTCTACTAAGCTTTGTCGGAACAACTCAATGAAGGACAAAGCTTTTCCGGTGAGAGTGGAGTCGGAAAAAGGATGCAAATGATTAGTCACTGACCTTTGATATGTGTACCCCAAGGCTTCTATGAATTCCAGAACACTGCATGCATACGAAGATCCCAAGATTGACACTTGCCCATCGAGGACCCCTGCAGCATGGGCAAAGTGTTAGCAATTGTTGAGTAGAACAAGAATTGTGAGCATGAGTGTTGATACACAATGAATGCATAGAAATGGAACTCAAAGCATCTGCACATGTGAACGGAGATAGAGGGAAAAGACTAGCCTAAAAGGCAACTATAACTGAACAATGTCATTTCTACATCTTTCTCCACAGATTGCAGTTGTTACATGTCTAGATACAAGCACTAATGATACATCCACGCGATAAATCTATTCCCGCGTGCATAATAAAGGCCAAAGTTAAAATATTAAATCTTGAAACACAAGGTAAGGCATAAAATAACTACCATAGCATTAACTGTATAACATAACACAGATCAGCAAATGGAACTGACCACTGAAATGTCCAATTCATGAATCAAACAGCTGCCTACCAAAATAGGCGATGTCAAATCTATCGGTAACATAATTTTTGTCTGATCCATCAATAGATACGTTAAAAACAACCAATTGCATGGGACCACTCACTTTGACTTGCAGTCTGCACATTCTCTGTTCTCCGGCAACCGCAGAAGGCCTTCCAATATCTGGAAATAAATGTAGACGAAGAATGACAATGGGTCATAAACGCTACGCGACAAACATGAGTAACACGCGTAACAGAAGATTGTGATTGCAACATAACAAGCACACATGGTGTCGCTTCCTTTTGGCTCATGTGACATCAAAGATAGATGGTGAGATTACTTACACGATGTTATAACCCTTCTGATCCACGATATACGCTACACAAATATAGGAGGCACAAAATTGAAGTGGTATTTGATTGGAATCTACGTCATGCTCGCCCTTATTCGGCACCGTAGACATACTAGAGTGCTACTACACCGCAGACATACATAATAGAGTGCTCCTACTCTATCGAATGGGAGGGTATTACTCAAGTTTTGTGCCCCAAGGTATGAGCAGCAGATACTATGAAGCAGCACATGAGCAAGCATTGCGCGTTCTCTGTAATCCCACCCAGGAGACTGAAATCCGTAATAGAGCGATCAAATTTACAACCAAACCACCGAATGGCGATTCCCATATCTCAACCGGCTTCGACGAGGCCGTCTGACGGAGCTGCCAAACGCAAAGTCAGCTACCGCGTCCGGCTCCTCGATTGATTTCCCGGCCATCGGAACGCGGCGAAGCAAAGCTCGGATCTGCTCCTTGTCAGGAACCGCAAAACCAATCGCAGATCCACGCCGTCGCGGATCCCGAATCCCGCCCGAAAAGAGGAGCTGCGCGTCCCGTCGGCTCTGTTTTGATTCCCGGTCCATTCGAAGCAGCAGCGTGCGGCGCCGACCTAATGATGGTGGTGCCGAGAGGGGGAGGGGGAAACAGTGGCGACGGGACGGACCTTCTTGTGCCTGGCGTTGAGCTCCTTGGAGACGGAGGCCTTCTCGTTCATGGCTGATCGCCGGATCCTCCGACCGGGAGGGGGGGATCGCAGGGATTCGGGCTCGGGCTCCCTCTCTCGCCCTCTCTCCTCCCTGTTTTTGCCGCGTCGTGGGGGAGGGGGGGAGGAGAGATGTGCAGAGGAGAGGGAGGGATCTGTGCGTCTCCTCCCGGCTTGACCTTCCTCGCTCGCGTGCCCTCTCTCTCTCTCTCTCTCTCTCTCTCTCTCTCTCTCTCTGAGTAGTTTTTTTCTGTTGGAAAAAAAAATTGTTTTTGTTCACGAGATTATATTTTTGTGTGCGGTGTGGTAATGACGGTGCTGTGAGGGTCTGCTGGCCTAATCACGGCACGACAGACCACGATTACAAACCAAGAAAGGAATAATTATTTATTATTTGTTGCATTCACTTACAATAGCACCGACCAGTGTAAACCACGTCAGTTGGAATGGCGCTGCCATTTTGATATGGTCCACAAATATGGAAATGAAAAAGGAACCATGAAGATGACACGAACATACACGCGCACCAGCCGCCTGCCTAGTCAACCTTTCTCGTTTTCGTGATGATTTTTGAAACGTGCATGTCTGAGTCATGCTTATCCTCGGTTTTTAGGATGTTAGTATATCCTCGATTATTAACATCTATTTTTTTAGAAAAATTAACGTCTGAATTATTGTTTTGCGTCGCATCATTGTTATTTTTTTAGAAAACTGACACAAGAAACATCCAGTTTTAAATTAATAAAGCCAACATCGGCCAGAGTAGCACAGAGTTACAGTTGTACATAACCGAATAAAAGCAATGAATACAACTTGCGACTCAAAAGGATCGTTAAAATAGAAATGAAATAACTACAACAAGCTCAAGAGCTCCTGTGAAACAGCATGAAGGTGTTTGATCTTGTTAAGGATGGTCGTCGCCGCCTCACAGTCCTTCCTCTTCCTTAGAGGGGCACCTTTGCTGAAATAAAAACAATATTTGAAGATATAATTAGCAGGGTGAGCAGGAATGGTTCCTTTAGTGGCAAGTTTGTTACAGGTAGTTCATAGCGTCCAGGCTAAAGCACTAAACGTTCTCCAGGCTAAGTGATGGTGTTCGCGACGAACGTTACGCAAGAGCACAAGCACTAGCACCATTGAATTCGGGTGCCAAGTTTGTCCAAACACATTCCGGGACGTAGCTCCATAATAATCTAGCAGGGACGCGTTGGAAAAGGATGTGATTAATGTCCTCCAAGGACCCACATAGAGCGCAGTTGTCGTTGCCCGGTCCATGACGTTTTTGAGGTTCAGAGCCAAGGGGAGGTGGTCCAAGGCAACTTGTCAAAGGAAGATACAAACTTCAAGGGGCATACGCGTGGCCCACGGAGGTTTGGCAAAACGAACTTTGGGGCCTCGCACCAGCTTGACATAAGTGAACTTGACCAAGAAGCCACCTAAGGCCTCCAACTCCGAGGTGATCATGTCTCGGTTCGGGCTGAGCAATACATGTTCGATCAAAGAACTCATATTGTCCAAGGAATTAGCTTCCGCCGTCAATAGAGATCGCAAAAACGATGATGGTCAAACCAGAGGAAAAATCATCGCTAAATAGCGCCTGAGGTTCCATGGTGATTACAAACAGAGATAATACATCGCGAATAGGGTTTGTCCGCAATCCATTTTGACAGCTAAAATTTAGTGTCCTCCTTCTCATTCCCCATCGAGAATTTGGCTCCTAAAATAAATATCTCCTTACATTTCTGGATCTCATTCCATAGTTGTGTGGCCTCAACAATGCACGCAAAGAAGGAGTCTGTTCGGGAAGTATTTAACTTTAAGAACAAAGCCCACAACTCGTTGTCGTTTTGCGGGATTTTTCAAATCCACTTAGTAACTAGGGCTAGGTTCATCTGTCTAGAGTTGGAAATCCCTAGACCTCTATGGTTTTCCAGGTCTACATAGATCAACCTATCTGACCATGTGGTACTTATGTTTTTTAACGCTATCATCCCAGAAAAATCGAGCACGAAAATTATCAAATTTCGCATGAACCCCCTCTTGTTGAGGAACGTAGTATTTCAAAAAAATTGCCTACGATCACGCAAGATCTATCTAGGAGAAGCATAACAACAAGCGGGAAGAGTGTGTCCACGTACCCTCGTAGACCGAAAGCGGAAGCGTTAAGTAAGGCGGTTGATATAGTCGAACGTCTTTGCGTTCCAACTGATCAAGTACGCACGGCACCTCCGCGATCTGCACACGTTCAGTTCGGTGACGTCCCTCGAACTCTAGATCCAGCTGAGGCTGAAGGAGAGTTTCATCAACACGACAGCGTGGTGACGGTGATGATGAAGTTACTGACGCAGGGCTTCGCCTAAACACTACGACAACATGACCGAGATGAAAAACTGTGGAGGGGGCACCGCACACGGCTAAAAAATCAACTTGTGTGTCCTTGAGTGCCCTCCTGCCCACGTATATAAAGGAGGGAGGAAGAGGAGGCCGGCCTAGGAGGGGAGCGCCTATAGGGGGAGTCCAACTAGGATTCCCAATCCTAGTTGGAGTCCCCTTCCTTTTCCAAGAGGGGGAGAGGGAAGGAGGGGAAGGAGAAGGAAATAGAGGGGGGCGCCACCCCCTCCCTAGTCCAATTCGGACATGCCATGGGGGGGGGCACCCCTCGAGGCCCTTCTCTCCTTTCCCATATGGCCCATTAAGGCCCACTACTTCCCCCGGCAAATTCCCGTAACTCTCCGGTACACCGAAAATACCCGAATCACTCGGAACCTTTCCGATGTCCGAATATAGCCTTCCAATATATCGATCTTTACGTCTCGACCATTTATAGACTCCTCGTCATGTCCGTGATCTCATCTGGGAATCCGAACAACCTTCGGTACATCAAATCACATAACTCATAATACAAATCCTCATCAAACATTAAGCGTGCGGACCCTATGGGTTCGAGAACTATGTAGACATGACCGAGACACATCTTCGGTCAATAACCAACAGCGGAACCTGGATGCTCATATTGGCTCCTACATATTCTACAAAGATCTTTATCGGTCAAACCGCATAACAACATATGTTGTTCCCTTTGTCATCGGTATGTTACTTGCCCGAGATTCGATCGTCGGTATCATCATACCTAGTTCAATCTCGTTACCGGCAAGTCTCTTTACTCGTTCCGTAATGCATCATCCCGCAACTAACTTATTAGTCACATTGCTTGCAAGGCTTATAGTGATGTGCATTACCGAGAGGCCCAGAGATACCTCTCCGACAATCGGGTGACAAATCCTAATATCGATCTATGCCAACTCAACAAACACCATCGGAGACACCTGTAGAGAATCTTTATAATCACCCAGTTACGTTGTGACGTTTGATAGCACACTAAGTGTTCCTCCGGTATTCAGGAGTTGCATAATCTCATAGTCATAGGAGCATGTATAAGTCATGAAGAAAGCAATAGCCACAAACTAAACGATCATAGTATTAAGCTAACGGATGGGTCTTGTCCATCACATCATTCTCTAATGATGTGATCCTGTTCATCAAATGACAACACATGTCTATGGCTAGGAAACTTAACCATCTTTGATTAACGAGCTAGTCAGGTAGAGGCATAGTAGGGACACTCTGCTTGTCTATGTATTCACACATGTATCAAGTTTCCAGTTAATACAATTCTAGCATGAATAATAAACATTTATCATGATATAAGGAAATATAAATAACAACTTTATTATTGCCTCTAGGGCATATTTCCTTCAGTCTCCCACTTACACTAGAGTCAATAATCTAGTTCACATTATCATGTGATTTAACACCAATAGTTCACATGTTTATGTGATCAATTCACATCTCCATGTGACTAATACCCAAAGGGTTTACTAGAGTCAATAATCTAGTTCACATCGCTATGTGATTAACACCCAAAGAGTGATCATGTTTTGCTTGTGAGAGAAATTTAGTCAATGGGTCTGCCACATTCAGAGCCGTATGTATTTTGCCAAAAAAATATGTCGACAATGCTCTACACGGAGCTATTCTAGCAAAAAATATGTATCCATTGAGACTCAGTGTAACACCCCGGATATGATTTACCTATTATGTAATCCAACTCTTGCCGTTTCCGGCGTTAAGTTATTTTATTTTCTTGGGTTCGGGTTTTTGTCTCCGTGTGTTGTTGTCGTTGTCATGCATCTCATATCATGTCATCATGTGCATTGCATTTGCATTCATGTTCGTCTCATGCATTCGGGCATTTTCCTCGTTGTCCGTTTTGCATTCCGG